TCGTCGTCGTCGTCGTCATAGTAGTAGTAGTGGTAGTAGCAGTAGTAGTAGTAGTAGTAGTAGTAGTCGTCCTAGTCGTAGTCGTAGTAAGAGGGGAGTAGTATGATATGTCGTAGTATAGTCGGAGCAGTAGTAGTAGTAGTAGTAGCAGTAGTAGTGGTAGTAGTACTAGTAGTACTAGTAGTAGTAGTAGTAGTAGTAGTAGTAGTAGTAGTAGTAGTAGGAGTAGTCGGAGCCGTAGTCGGAGCCGTACTTGTGGTAGTACCAGGAGTGGTTGTGGTAGTAGGAGTTGTCGGCGTCGTATTAGTCGTATTGTTAGTCGCCGTCGCACTAGTTGTAGTAGTAGTAGTAGTAGTAGTAGTAGTAGTCGTAGTCGTTGCCGTGGTAGTAGTCGGTCGTAGTCGGAGTAGTCGTAGGAGAAGTTTTAGTAGTAGTATTAGTAGCAGTGATGATATTAGTATTAGTAGTAGTGGCGGTAGCGGTGGTAGTGGAGGTGGCAGTAGCCGTCGTAGTCGTAGTCGTACTCGTTGTGGCAGTCGTAGTCGTAGTACTATTACTAGCGCCGGAAATATTAGCAGTACCAATACACATTTCAGTGCCTGTGTTCTAGTGTTTGTACTCGTATTGGTAAGTGTGGTGGCGGTGGTGGTTGTGAACATGGTAGTGGTAGTAGTAGTCGTAGTAGTAGTAGTAGTAGTAGTAGTAGTAGTAGTAGTAGTAGTAGTCGTAGTAGTCGTAGTAGTCGTAGTAGTCGTAGTAGTCGTAGTAGTCGTAGTAGTCGTAGTAGTCGTAGTAGTCGTAGTCGTAATAGTAGTAGTCGCCGTAGTCGTAGTCGTAGTCGTAGTCGTAGTAGTTGTAGTCGTAGTAGTCGTAGTAGTCGTAGTAGTGGCAGTGGAAGTAGTAGCAGTTGTAGTGGCAATGGTAGTGGTAGTGGTAGTGGTAGTGGTAGTGGTAGTGGTAGTGGTAGTGGTAGGGGTAGTGGTAGTGGTAGTGGTAGCAGTAGTACTAGTAGTCGTAGTCGTAGTAGTAGTAGCGATTTCAGCAGTAGGAATAGAAGAAGAAGCAGTAGTAGTAGTAGTCGTAGTAGTAGTAGTAGTAGTAGTAGTAGTAGTAGTAGTAGTAGTAGTAGTTGTTGTTGCTGTAGTAGTACTTCTAGTAGTAGTAGTCGTAATAGTAGTGGCAGTAGCAGCAGTAGTAGTAGTAGTAGCTTTGGCAGCAGCAGCAGCAGTAGCACTAGTACTACTTGTGGTAGTAGTTTTGGTGGTAGTAGTAGTAGTAGTAGTAGTAGTAGTGGTGGTGGTGGTGGTAGTAGAAGTGGTAGAAGTAGTAGTAGTCGTAGGAGCAGCAGTCGTAATAGTAGTAGTAGTAGTAGTAGTAGTAGTAGTAGTAGTAGTAATAGTAGGAGTAGTAGTAGTAGTAGTAGTAGTAGTAGTAGTAGTAGTAGAGTAGTAGTAGTAGTAGTAGTAGTAGTAGTAGTAGTAGTAGTAGTAGTAGTAGTATAGTAGTAGTAGTAGCAGCAGTAGTAGTAGTAGTAGTAGTAGTAGTAAACGTAGTAGTAAACGTAGTAGTAGTAGTAGTAGTAGTAGTAGTAGTAGTAGTGGTAGTGGTAGTAGCAGTAGTAGTATTAGCATTAGTAGTAGTAGTAGTAGTAGTAGTAGTAGTAGTAGTAGTAGTAGTAACAGTAGACGTAGCAGTAGCAGTAGTAGTAGTAGTAGCAGCAGCAGTAGTAGTAGTAGTAGTAGTAGTAGTAGTAGTAGTAGTGGTAGTAGTCGTAGCCGTAGCCGTAGCCGTAGCCGTAGTAGTAGTAGTAGTCGTCGTAGTAGTCGTCGCCGTAGTAGTAGTAATAGTAGTAGTAGTAGTAGTAGTAGTAGTAGTAGTAGTAGTGGTAGTGGTAGTGGTAGTGGAAGCAGAAGAAGAAGAAGAAGTCGCAGTGGTAGTAATCATTCGTAGTAGTGCGGCGCCGACGACGCCGAAGCCGAAGCCGACGACGCCGATGAGGACGACGCCGACGACGACGCCTACGACGCAGTAGAACCACAGCAAAACCACAGGAAACGACAGGAAACCACAACAAAATCACAGCAAAGCCACGTCAAACCACAGCAGACAAAACCACAATCTCCTCTCCTCCTTTTCTCTCCTCCCCTCCTTTTCTCTCCAGGCCCTCAAGAGGCTTCAAAACGACCCACGAAGCCCCCAAGAGGTCCCCAAACGCCCCAAACGACCCGCCAAGAGGCCCCCAATAGGCCCCAAACCGAAACGACTCCAAAGCAGCTCCCAAAACAGCTTCGGAAACAGCTTCCGAAACCGCCTCCTAAAGATATTCCGAAACCTCTCCGAAACATTCCGAAACAGTTCCGAAACAGCTCCGAAACGGCATCCGAAACGGTTTCCAAACAGCCTCCGACGCGGTCCCGAAATAGTTCCAAAACGGCTCCGAAACAATTTCCGAAACAGCCTCCGAGACAGCATCCGAAACAGCTTCCGAAATAGCATCCGAAAGACATTACGAAATTGCTCCGAAACGGCTTCCGAAACAGTTTCCGAGGCTACCAAACCGAACCGAGGAGGAGGAGGAGGAGGAGGAGGAGGAGGAGGAGGAGGAGGAGGGGGTTTGAATTCGAAAACCCGGACTTTCGAAAGTCCGGGTTTCAATTTTTTGATTTCCGGGTCTACCCTCCCTCCTCCTCCTCCTCCTCCTCCTCCTCCTCCTCCTCCTCCTCCTCCTCCTCCTCCTCCTCCCCTTCCCCCTCCTCCGCTTCCTCCTCCCCCTCCTCCTCCTTTTCCTCCTCCTCCTCCTCCTCCTCCAGACTGGACCCCAAGCTCCGATCCAATGACACCCTGGAAGAAGAGTCGTTGCCGCTCGGGCTACTCTGGGTCGTGAGACTTGAATGCTCCATCGGAGCTCAAGAGACGGGGGTCAATGCAAACGGGGCACCACTGTGCACGCGCGCGCGCGTCGGGCGTGGGCCGTCAGGGCCCGCGCCCGCGTGGAGGTACGCGTCGCCGCGCTGCCGAGAGAAAATCATCTCTCCTCTTCCTGGTCCTCTCTCCCGCCTCCTTTCCTCTCCTCCCTCTCCCCCTCCGTTGAGTGCACGCGTATCTCACTTAACCGGATCCTGCAGCATCCCGTGAAGACCCCCTTTTGCTGACCCGGGTCAGCGAGCCGCTCGCGGCCGCGAGGCTGTCGCGCAGATCGGTGGACCCGGGTTTGCGAAGCCCTGCGTTGCAAATTTTGGTCAGTGAATTTTAAATTTTAGTTTTTCGGTTTCCTGCTGACCCGGGTCTGATTGACCCCGTTCAGCAGATCCCCGACGACCTTTCCTTCTGCAAGAGCGACGCAGCGAGCCAAAGCTCCAGGCCTCCCAGATGGGGTCCGAGTAGATGGGGTCGGAGGGTTGCGCCGCATCGAGATAGATGTTCTGCGCGACGATGTTGCCAATGTGCCGCCGACGTGGCCGATGCATCGCTGATGCATCGCCGATGCATCGCGATCCCCCGACCCCATCTACTCGGACCCCAACTAGGAGGCTTCTGACTTTTTTACTTTGCAAGACTAATGCAAAAATCCCGAAAGCCCAACCCGAGTCTTGATGCAGGACCTGGACTCTTGGCCCGAGTCTCTGCTTAGAGCCAAGCCCAGCCCGAGTCTTGGCCCAGGCCAACGCCCAACCCAAAGGACCCCCCGTCCTCTATAACGAAACGGAGTGAAGAGGTGACCTGGGCGACCCCGAAGCCCTCAGGAGGGTTCGAAAGTACCCAGGAACGGCCCGAGACCTACGATCCCCGATCGCTGGCGACGACGACGGTAGCATTTTGTTGGCAAGCCGCTGCGGCGGGGGCCCTCTGGGAGGCCTGCCTGCCCTTCGAGAAGGCTGCACCCCTGACCCAGGGGTCGACCTAACAGTGCTTTGGCGATATCGTGGGCCGTCTTCGTTCCGGTCTCGTTTTGCAGCAGAGGCGGATTGAAGACACAACGAGGGAAAGCAGAACAAAAAACGAGAGCGAACAGCACCGCCCAGTAGGGCGATCCCTGCCCTGGCCCCGTTCCGCCCTCGTCGTTCGCCCTCCGGGCTGCAGTGGGCCCCCGCGGCCACCGACACGGAGAGGGCGGTGGCCTTGAAACCTTCGGGGCATCCGGCTCAGACCTCCGGTGAGGGTGTTGCGTGCTCTTGTGTCTGTTCGGGGCCTAGCTCCGGTTGCTACTGCTGTCGACGATGGGTTTGTTTTCCACCACCACCATGAGCTGGAGTGGGAGGGGGTCCTCCTCCTCCTCCTCGTCCTCGTCTTCGTCCTCCACCTTCCCCTTCCAACTTATGGTGGTGGTGGAAAAACAGACCCATCTGTCGATTTACATTTTCAAGATTCAGATATTACCTCTCAGACACACAAAGAAATTCGGTCGCCAAAGAAGCATTAGTCTGGAGCCTTGAGAGGCCTGAGAGAGCCTCGACTCGAGCTGTAACTCAAAAGTATTCGGACTAAAAAAACGCTCTTGCTGTGCCACATCTGTATTATTCGGCGACGGCCAGAGGCGTGCCAGGAGCTCTACGAGGTGCCCAGCGGTAGCCATGTTGGCGGTTTACCGCCGGCGTCTAGCAACATTTGCCGAGTTGAGCAATACGTTGGAAGGGGGGTTTGGGATGTCATGGCGGGGGCCATGATCTCTCCCCAGATTACCTGGCGCCTCTTCTCATTTCAATGCGCTCAGGCCCCCCTCCCTGGGCCGCGCACATGCCGCCGGCCATGATTCGTGCCCCCCCTCTTGGACGCCCCCCTTGTGGACGCCCCCGACCTCTGGGAGGCTCCTCGTCGCCGAGGCGGGGTCACCGTCGAAGTTGTGACCAGAGCGCAGCCCAGCACCCCGGAACGGGTCAGGGGGTTTGACCTTTGAGGGAGGAGTTCCCAGAACTCCGACGTAATTCGTGACATTTCCGTTGCGTGCCCCCGCCTCTGTACCGTTCAGAATCATGGGCGCTGTTTTTCAGGACGCTTTAATGCATCTGCATTGGCAGCGTTGTATCTGCTTCGCGCTCTGTTTGCACTTGGCCCGTGATGCGAACGGCACGCGCACGAGCTACAGGCATGTGGATGTTTGCGAGGACATATATGTCGGCACGCTCAAATAAACATACCTCCGACGTTTTGAAAAGATGAAGACGGAGCCATTCAGCATTTCTTGGCGTCCGGGGGCCGTCTCCGTACGGCGGGGACCTTCAAACAGACGTTTTTGGAGATGGTGCCCAGGAAAGGGGCGAGAGCTCTTGGGCTCGCCATCCTGAATATCCCCACCCACCAAGCCAATCCAACCCAACCCGAAGGCCCCAATTTGCCCTCCATTTCCAGTGGGGGGGGGGGGCAGGGAACATCGACAAAAACACATATGGAACCCGTACCCCCCCCAACCCGAAATTCGGGTCTTCGGGTTGGGTTGGGGTGGTCTGGCAGGCCGTCATGGGGCCATCTTGGAGGCCTCTTGGGCGATCTTGGGGGCGTCTTGCGCCGTCTTGAGCCGTCGGAATGCCGGGGTCCAGGAACTGAGCTGCCTCGGTTGGCTCGAACTCGAAATCGATCTTCTGGTGAATCGTGTTCTCGTCCAGCTTCTCTAGCAAGCCCATGGTGTAGTGTCCTTGAGGTGAGAGGGTGGCTGCTTCAAAGTCGCCGCCGTTCCAGGATATCATCTGTTTGGCGTAGTCGATCTGAACTTAGAACTCCTCGAGCAGTGGTCTTGGAAATAAGATTGGGGTTCGTCCCGGTACCACGTAGATGTAGAGCGTACCTGACTTTTGCTTGAAATTGACCGGCATGATTCCACACTACTGTGCACAGTCGACCTTGCCGTTCCCGAATCGGAATGGCCTTCGGCACTTGTAGAACTTGAGGTCCTGGATGGGGTGGTCCTTCGGCTTGCAGTGCCACGTAGTCCTTGACCGTCTCCGATCCCGACATGAGCGTGGTAGCTCCACAGTCCATGACTCCACTGCTGGCTGGAATCGCGCTGCTGTTGTTGGCCTTCCCGTCCCAGTAGACCTCGTCGACCATGAAGCTCTCGTCGGCGTGAGCCCGCTTCTTGTTGGATGGCTCGGTGCAATCCCTGGCCCAGTGGCCTGGCTTCCCGCACCTCAGGCAGTTGACCGATGGTGATGACGTAGATACTGGCCTTGTAGCTGCCCTGGCTCTTCCCATTGGATCCTGCGCCGTAGGTCGTGGTCTCGTCTGTACGGTAGGTGGTGGTGGTGAACCTTTTGGATTGTTCTTTCTTCCTTTTGACTTTCCGCGTCCTTTGCAACCTTTGCTGCTTGGCCTGCCACGGCCACTGGTGGCTCCAACATGTGCTGCGATTGGACTTGAACCGCTTCCGACCATCGCCACAACTGGGTAGAACCCTCGCGCTAGCTTCAGGTCGGTGAACCGCTTCCTGGCGTCCGCGTAGGATGCGTAAACCTCCTCGTGCTCACCGGGTTCGAGATCTTGAGCCGCACTGGGTTCGCGCTGGCAGTAGCTCTCGTCGCAGTCGTACCACGTGTCGTCGTCCTCCGCCCAGTACTCCTGCTGGTAATCGTCCTTTGGCTCGTCCTCCGGCTCGCCAGTGAAGAACTCTTCCTCGTAGTAATCTCCATCTTCGTCGACGACATATTGTCTCCGTACATAATTCGGCTCGTGGATGGTGCTCTCCTGCCCGAAGTGATGTCCTTGCCGACCACAGACATGAGGACTGCCTCCTGGTCCGAGTTGTAGCCCCCGCGTCGTAGCGTGAGCCAGCCTCGAACTTTGGTGGGGAGCTCGATGTCGTGCGTCTTGAGCTTCCGTTCTGCTGCTCGAACCCGCCAGAAAGAGGCGAAGAGCGTTTTCATCTGAACCGTTTCAGCTTGTAGAAATTCTCCTCAAAGTCGTCCGCGAGCTCCGTGCGATCGTCCATCTTGAATCGCTTCTGTAGCCTATTCATGAGCAACTTCGCCGCGTTCGACTTGATGAGGTCGTCCGCTGTGAGATCCTCCTCTTCGTCCCAGGCCTCCCCGGTGAGACCTGCACTGAGCATGAGAGCCGGTTCGCCTTCCTTCTTATTCAGCGTGAGCTCAGCTATGAAGATCATCGCCCGCTTCTCGTACTCCTTCCACTTGCTGAGCGTGCCGTCGAATTGTGGAACTCCTCGCTCTGGTCGAATGTCTGCTGCTGCTGCCGTTTTCGCCATCTTGCCGAAATTGAGCTGCAAGGGGTCTGTGAGATCGAACTTCTGCTGTCCTGTGAAATTGAACTCGAACGGTCCTGTGAAATCGAACGTGGACTGCTCTGTGAAATCCACGGTGGACTGCCCCATGAAATTGAACGGCAATCGGTACGTGAAACTCAACTGCGAGAAGTCTATGAAGTCATCCGCTGAGTGGTTTCCGTAATCGAAGCTTATGGAGTGGTCGAACGTTTTCGTGAAAACGGCGCTGGGATATGGAAGGTCAAAGCGCGAGCCTGGCGAACCAGGCTCCGGTACCAATATGAACTTGTCAAAGCCCTCGAAGTCTTTGATGGCAATGAGAAGAATGATAACGAGTCACATCTGGATGTTTTCACTCCGTTGCGCTGGTGACTCGAGGGCCCTGCAAAGGTTTGGGCCGGAGTGCGATCGGACGGAGGCCCCTTCGTACCCTCGCTTGTGCTTGCAAAGCTGTGCTCGCTCTGCTATTCTCTTGCCATGCGAAGCTACATCAGATGTACAGCGCATATCTCACACCTCCTGATCCATATGCGGCCCGGATCTGCTTTGGCGTGCTGCGTTAGGGGCCCGCCCACGGGCCCGCATGTTCATAGGCCACCGTGCCTCTCGGTTACTCGACTCGCTCGTCGATGTATGGATGAGGTTCGGATGATGAGGAGATCAGGGCTATGTGGGAAGAGAAGCAGCGGACCGGGTCGCCTCTAGCTTCAGGCGCAAACAAGCAGGTGCCGATCCCCAGACAAATCCCGAGGGCCCCCTATCTGTTCAGAAAATATTTTGGCAGGTTAGGCGTTGATGTGTCGTTAAGAGTTGCCTCTGCCATATCAGTTTCATGCTGTGCCTTCCTTCCTTCTTGTTCTTTTCTTGATGCGCCGCTCGCTGCCGACAGCACTGCTGCCACGATGGACCTGCTCAACATGGACGAGAGTGCGCCAGCTGTAACCACTGACATGTCGAAGCCGGTGGGGGGAGGGCGCGTCTTTGAGTCTCGAATTTTGCAGTGGAGGCATGCGCGAATGCGACGCAGACCATGGTGATTGAAGGGAAGGAGAAGGAGAGGAGAGGCGGGGCCGGAGGACGAGGACCTGCAGGAGGAGCAGGAGGAGGCGGGGCATGGAATTGGGGGGAAGGAGAATCACGCGGAGGAGCAGAATGATGATACGGAACATTTGGAGGAGGAGGAGGAGGAGGAGGAGGAGGGGGAAGAGGAGGAGGAGGAGGAAGTCCGTTGCCATTTTGGCCCAAGTGGGAACAGGTCCCATTTTGGGCGGGCAGCTCTCTTCCGAGCTGTCCAGCGTGTCGTGCGCTGGCGGCAGTCTCCCGTGAGTAGTTCCGCTGTGCTGAGAATCGACACACTTCTTGGGAGCCCTCACAGATCTTGTGCTGGCGCAGTATGGCAGGACGCGCTCGTGACAGTCTGCCCTACGGTGCTCGACGGGGCGCCCCTGATGCTCGTGATGGTGGCTCGTCAGCGCTCTCGCACTCGCGGCGGTGATGATGACGAGGAATTCGTGGACGCCGAGTCGGAGGACTCCCCTGTGCATTCAGGTGGCGGCAGTTGCGGCAGCGTCGGCTCCACGATACTCCCTGAGGCTCCGTCTGATGAGGATGGTGATTTTCGCCGTTATGCTGATCATTAGACAAAGAGTGAGGTCATGGCAGCCATCGCATCGATCCAGTCCAGTGTGATCGCCCTATCCCAGACATTCGCTTCCCACGTTGAGACGATCGACCGCCAAGTTGAGGCTAGAATGCATCGTGTGGAAGCTAAAGTGGAGGATCACGAATCTCGAGCGTCGTATGATGAGAATCAGATTGAGCACTTGCAGCGGCAGTTGAACACTGTCAAGACAGAGCCGCTCCTCCGATGTCTGAGCTCCCATTTGGGCTTGACCGCCCGACGGACCCTACGATCCTGGTGGTACGTGCAAAAGGATATGGTCACGCATGAGGCTGTGTGCAGTCGGATCAACGAGTGGATGCAAGATGCCAGCGTTTATGTTGACAACTTCGAGGTCCAGCGCCCTTCGATTGGTCCAGTTTCCGAGCGTTTCGTCAGTTCACGGGTCAGCCTCGTTTGGCGACGAGAGTTCTTTGACAGGCCATGGTTGCGATTCGACCGTGAAACAACACGTTGAGGCGCTTCCAAGCGGCGCTCCTTAATGACAAGGGCGTGAAAGACGCCCCCACACTGGTCTACGGGGCGCTCTGCGCTGAACCTCCTGTGGGTTGACAGGGTGAACCCTACACATCGCGCGTGTCGCGCGGCGTCCTGGCCCATGCGGCTCTCCGGCCTTGGGAGTCCGGACCCACGCCAAGCAGCAGAAGGAGGAGAAGTTCAACCGCATCCCCACTCAATTCAGGGGCCTTCAGGAGCTGGCGGGAGGAGGCAAGGCGGCGAGACGGAGTCAGACTGCTGCTGCGGTCGACGCAGGGGGAGCACGCAAAGAGACAAGCAGCGAGATCGCCGAGGTTTTCGCTGCGTTCTACGAGGATCTCTACCGCAGCCAGTCCAAGTCGTACGGGACAGCCCAGCAAGCCAGAGAGCCAATTTCAGCTTTCACTTTGGACGAACTTGACACGGCCCTAAAAGCAATGAAAGAGGTGCAAGGACGGAGCCGGTATAGTCGCTGAGATGCTGAAATCTGGCGGAGACGCGCTGCACGGCCACACATTGCAATTCTTCAATGACGCATTGCTCCCTGACCAGGAGCCGCCGGCAACCTGGAGAAGAAGAGCGCGATTAGTCGTCATCTTCAAGAAGGGGAACCCCGAGCTGCCAAAAAACTACCGACCCATTGCTTTCTTCCCGTCCTCTACAAACTCATTGCCCGCATGTTGTGCAGTCGATTGGAGCCGCTGATCATGAAGCACCAACCGCCAGACCAGGCTGCGTATCGCTCTGGCTACTCCACAGAGGATCATATGCTGACTCTCACCCTCTTGGTGGAGGCATGCGAAGAGTGGCGGCAGGAGCTATGGCTAGCGCTGGTTGACTTCGAAAAGGCTGTCGACACTGTCGAGCACGAGGCACTGTGGAAAGTGTTACGCGACTTCGGCATCGAGGAGGGGTGCATCTCTTTGTTGCGCAAGCTGTATAGAGACCAGACCGCCACGGTACTCGCAGGGGAAGAATCCAGGCAGTTCTCGTTGGGCAGAGGTGTAAAGCAAGGAGACCGGATCAGCGCCCTTCTTTTCATCGCTGTCATGGAGAGATGCTTCTGGAGTCTGAAGAGCAAGTGGGGTTCTCTGAACAAGCGAAGAACTGGTCAGTATTTCGGTTTCGTCATTGACGACCCTTGCCATCCCTTGACAAACTTAATATTCGCAGATGACGTGCTTCTCTTTGCCCAGAGCCAAAGTGATGCGGCAAAAATGCCGTCCCACCTACAGCAAGAAGCTGCGCAGCGCGGACTCATCGTTCACCTGGACAAGACCAAGGTGCTCGCGAATGTGGGCGTTAGCGTTGGTTCAACTGTGAAGATGGGAGACACCAGTGTAGAAGTTGTGCCGCCCACTGGTTCTGAGAAATATCTGGGGGGCATGATCTGCCTGGGCGAGTGCCATGACACAGAATTCGCCAATCGAATGGCAGCTGCGTGGAGAGCTTTTGCCAACTTCAAGCACATGCTATGTTCGAGGCGACATGCTTTGGCTTCGAGATTCAAGCTGTTTGACACAGTGATTACGCCTGCTGCTCTGTACGGGTCGTCAGCCTGGACTGTAAAAGAGGATGCCCGGAAACGACTGCTGACCGCATGGCGGAAGATGCTTCGTAAGATCGTCCAGGTTCCCAGACGCTGTCAAGAGACATGGGTGGAGTACGTGATCCGGTCCGCCCGGGAGTGTGAGAAGTACATGCAAAAATTCGGCAGAAGGGATTGGGCAGCTGTTCAGAAGGGCCGCAAGAGCCATTTCGCTACTGCAGCTTCCAATGACACCCAGGCCACATGGAGCACGAGGTTGCCACAGTGGAAACCATTCTTCCGCACTGCCGCGCAGCGACCGCTGGGGCGACCCCGGAAGAGGTGGGGAGACGCTGCGTGAGGCCTCTGCAAGTCTTTTGCAAATTTTGGCTCGGTGCATCCTTCTCCTCCTCTCTCCTCCTCTCTCATCTGCTCCGTGCGCCCTTGGCTCGCCGATTGCCAAGTTTACCGGCTGTGCCGGGCCAAAGGCCCATGGGCGCCGCCCGTCTGGGCGGAACGCAGCCGCTCGCTCGCTCTCTCTTTGGGTTCGAGGAGAAGCAGGCGCCCGGCGGCTTCGAGTTCGCGAATGGCAGCGACGCGGGCAGCGACAAGAGGCTGAGGTATTTTCGACGTCGGCTACGAACCGGCGACCCGGTGCGACCGCGAGGGCGACCGCTCCAAGATTGATGCGCCATGGCGGGCGCGGCAGACCTGCGCGGACTTCCCTGTAATGAATACACGCGACAGTGCCCACCAGGATGGCGACCTCATGTACGAAGATTTCCGCGCAAGACATACGAGGATTAACTGGGGCTGTGGGTGCGTGTGGCAGATGTCCCAGCGGACTGCCAAGGGGGCGTTATTGTCGGCAGGTTGAAAAGATCGGCGCATCGCATTACGATGAAGATTCGACTACGACGGCAGGATAGAAGTTTACATATCGAGGACGAAGCCGTCAATGCACTTGGACAACCTGAAGATGCAGCTCAAGGATGTCGAGCGACCCCTTCGGGTCGACAACAGATCATGGCCGAACTGAGGACGGCCTTCGGCGATGATAGTCAGGATTTGCAGGCGTTCCACTTGGATAGGTTCTTTGCATGGCATCTCACACAGCTTGTTGGATTAGTTGACGGCATTCAAACTAAGATATGAATCGGCTGAGGAGCACGCTGCGCCGAATATTAATCACGCTGGATTGACGCGCTTGTTGCTTGGCAAAGCTGGACTGTTTCCACGACGTGTAGACGATTTGATGCTGAAGGTAGATGGCGATCGTGGCCACTGTACTGAGATATACACATTGCTGATGAATTCCAGTAAAGGACAGAGGGGGATTGGCGAAGGTGGAGACCAGGCCGGCATGTATTTCAAGATTAGCAAGACGACGTGGAAGCCCCTAAGTACAGTAAGGTTGAATAGTTCACAGATCATCAAGGAGCGTGGTATATCTATGGCCATATTTGGGAGCAGACGTACTACTTGAACCTCGCGAGTGAAGATCTGGATCATGGCGCGCATGGCAAATGGCCACTGGGGCGGCACCTGGGACGACAAAGAATTTCAAACATTGCATTACTATGGTGAGGAAGACGATGAGGATTATGATGATGATCCAGAGTATTAGAAAAACGATGTGATGACCCTCTCGACTCGTCTCCAGGCGACCTCGCTCCTGACGGCAAGTTCGGCAGAAGGGAGACAGGAAAAGGGCTGCGGCGGCAGCAGAGGCCACGGCAATTGACGACGAAGTTGCAGCAAAGGGTCTGGCAAGCGCTCTCGCGCGTTTGGGCGCGGCAAGCATGGCGGCAAAGATCGGCGCGGCGCACGGTGGCAAAAAAGGGCAATGGCGGCAAAGGCTTCGGCGGCAAAGGCAATAGTGGCAGAGGCGCCGATCACGGGGGAGCTCCAGGGCCCATTGTTGACCTACATGAACCGCGTACTAGCGGACAACATGCCTTTCCTGCCACCGCCCAAGGTTCGCGTTCATCTTCTTCAAGTTGCGAGAAGTGCGACGGCAGATAACACCCAGCGAAGGGTTGCCCGGTCAGCAAGCAAGCGCAGAGAAAGGCGCATCTCAGGCATCAGCAGTTTTTCGTTCATGACCGGGGCGAGGGATGTCAAGTTACCTCCACCCCCAACGCCATCGGGCGAATATCAGCCTCAACCAAGAGCTGAACAGCGTTTCTCCCGAGAACCCTGGGCTCAAAAGAAGCGCGAGATCGTTGGGGAGACAGGTATCTAGCCACGGCACGCGCAGTAGAAGTCGATGATCACGATGGGAAGGAGCCACGCTTCTACGAGAAGGGCGACTTACGACGTGAAGAACAATCGTGGGCAAGTGACTCTGGCACTTCTTGGATGAACGTTTCTGCGCATGACTCACCTCTCGAACCTCCGCCCGTTCTGACGACGCCGAATCAAGCATTCCCAAAGCTATGATCAACGAGACTTTCTGCTTCAGCGACGCAGTTGTGAAGAACATTATCACTGAGGATCGCGGACGCGGCTCTTTGATTGGCTCGGGCGCGCAGACGCCGACCCAGGACTGCCCCGCGTTGCCATCGAGACCTCGACCTCCGCGACCCAGGGGGGCGAAGAACCGGGTGACGCTTTGGTTCAAGATCAAAGAGCGTTGCAGGATCAGGGAATTGCAGTTGTTCGTGGAGTATTTGCTGAACAAAGGGACATGTTTGAATATCGCCTTATCAAAGGCAGACCTCGTCGTGGCTTCATGGTGGATCCAGGCGCAGCATCAGGCGCATGCGGAACCGACGCACTGCTAAACCACGATGGCAAGAACAGCAACGACTGCACGACCACCCCAGGCAGAGGCAGCTTCACCGGCATGAACGGCAACCCTGTTCCAGGACTTGGGCACGTGGCTCAACGGGCCAGGTGCTCCTGGTTGGAGCTGGTTTGGCACGGAGACTTCATCGGCGTTCAAGGATCAAACTGTCCATTTATACAGCCGTTGCCTCCACTGATTCATTTCCATGATTTGTTTTACATCTTTACAACACTCATCCTCGCGAAGCGGATAGGGCGTCCGCGTGGGCGCCGCGCAGCCAACTGCAAGTAGCTTTGCAATATCGGGAAGCCCGTGCTTGCCTTGGACGTGAGACACGCATTCCTCCGCGTTCGCATCCAGGGTTCGAGTGCCGCCGCTTATCGAAAAGGTTCCGTTGTGGAAGACCCGTGCCCTTCTTCTTTTTTTTGCTTGTCTCCCGATGGGCGCCGTCCAGTGGCGCTCTGCGTCGGCGCATCTGCGCTGGTGCTCCAGCAGAGGGTGCGTCGCCGCGCTCCCCGCTAATGGGAGGCCGCGCAATCCCCGCGCCGCGGCGGCCAACTGCGTCGCGCGCCCCCTGCCGGGGGTTCGCCGGGGGGGCACTTCACCGCAACTTCGCAATCCACCAGGGACAATCGAAATCCCTTCAGCGGTTTCAACCGCACGACGTCTGACTATCAAGGAAGGCCTCGCGGGAGCGCGACATCTTGTCGGCATGGCTGCTATTATTTACCGCGGATCGTGCCCTTTCCCGATCCGCGAACGTCGGCCACTCTGGGTGCCTTGCTTGCTCTGCATGCGCGCAAAGGCGTTCACTTTTGCGCGCGGCGCGCCGTGCGCGCGTGCTGCGTGTCTCTGAACGCGCGCGCGCTGCGCGCGCTGTGCCGCGCGTGGCGCCGCGCGCGCAGCGATCGCGTAGGCCGTGCCCATTGCTGTTGTTTCTTAGTTTACATGTGAAAGAGCGGTTCGGTTACTTCGCGAAGGCCGCCTCGAAAGACAAGGGTGGCGCTCTCCGCTTCCAGTGGGTCTTGCTGGAGGACGAGAAAAACACGCCTGTCCAGGAAATGCTGCGGTGCCACTGGGTGGAGAGCACCAAAAACCAGTTCCCAGGAACACAGGACCTCGGAGTGAGCAGGGACAAGGGCTGCGCTGGCGTGTGGGCGTTGCAGTTCACGCGAATCTTTCCGGGGGAATTCGCCGTGCGAGCCGCGCCGCAGGCCGCGGGGCCGCCCGCCGTGCCCGTGCCTTCCAGGCGGCCGCCCGCCAGCTGGCAGCCGGGAGCCTGCCCATAGGGCCGGGGTTCAATGGAGGGAGCGCTGCAATGTAAACTGTCGTCCCCGCGGCTAGGCAGGGGCGACGACATTTTACATTGCAGTGCTCGCCCGCGCGCGGCCCATTGGGCGAGGCTCCCATGGGCAGGCCCCCGGCTGCAGGCCGGCGGGCAGTCGCTGGAAGGCGCGGGCACGGCGGGCGGGCCCGCGGCCCGCGGCACGGCTTGCGCGGCAGACTCCCCGGAGAAGACTTGCGTGGACTGCAAAGCCCACGCGCCAGCGCAGCCCTTGTCGCTTCTCACTCCGAGGCTCTTGGCGCTTTCGACGAGTTGGCACGGCAGCGCCCCCTGGGCAGACGCGCTCTCCTCGCGCTCCAGCAGGACCCACTGGAAGCGCAGAGCGCCGCCCTTGTCTTTCGCGCCGGCTTTCGCGAGGTCACCGAGCCGTTTCTCCATCTGTCAGCTAAGAAATAACAGAATTTGGGACAATAGAGGGTGGAGTCTTGGATGAAGAGCACATATTTTCACAATAACAACAATTGGCAGCTCCGGGCATGCCTGGAGGACGTCCGAGAACTTGTGAACCCATGGAAGCGAATACCGCGGAGGCCACCTGTGCACCGACCCCGGCCTTCTCCATGCCCACTTACTGAACAGGACCCCTGCACGCGACCGCGAGGAAATCTCTGAGGGCGGCCCGCGCGTCGATCCTGCTTCCGTCATCTCCTACGATTATAAAATCCGTCCCCGCTCTGTCTCTCTCTCTCTCTTTCCTCCCTCCGTTTCCTCCTCTTTTTTCTCGCCCTCCTCCTTCCTTTTCCTTCCCGTTGCCTCTTCCCCTTCTGCTTTCCTGCTCAGGGATTACCTTGCATCTATATGGGGGGGGGGGGGCAAGGGGGGGCTCCCGAAGGGCAGGCTCCCGACGGGCAGGCCCCCTGCTGCTGGCTGGCTGGCGGCCGCTTGGAAGGCGCGGGCACGGCGGGCGGCGCCGCGGCCTGCGGCGCGGCTTGCGCGGCGAAGTCCCCGGAAAAAACTTGCGTGGACTGCGCGGCCCACCCGCCAGCCCAGCCTTTGTCGCTGCTCATTCCGAGGCCCTGTGTTCCTGGGAACTGGTTTTTGTTTTTGGCGTTTTCGACCTGCTGGTGCAGCAGCATCCCCTGGGCAGACGTACTCTCCTCGTCCTCTAGCATGATCCAGTGGAAGCGGAGAACGCCGCCCTTGTCCATTCGAGGCGGCTTTCGCGAGGTCACCGAGCCGTTTCTCAATCCATAAGTTAAGAATCAAAGAATATGAGACCGTTGGGCCCTCCCAGGGGTTTCTTGGACAGTTTTTGTTTCTGAGATTTCGGGCTCGTTCCCCAGTTTGGAGCGTTGGACATTCGAAATGCCGAGATCGCTCAGCACTGTCCGAACCAACATCAAGCTATGTATGTGTTCTTTCCCGAAGCCCTGTGGGTGCCTTCCCGGATCCTTATTGAGGCGTCTTGGGGGCCTCCTGACCCGTCCTGAGGGGCGGCGATTCGCGTGGGCGCGGCGCGGGCCAGAACAAGGCGCGCGGGAGGGCCCCTCGCAATGGTAGCGGAGCTGCTTGCGTTCAGCGGCCAGCAGGCGGCCACGGTCTATGTGAGCACGGCGCGAGCATAATCTACAGCTTTGGATTCGACCCTTCGGCGGGGGTGGCGGTGCGCCGAGTCAATGTCCTTGCAAAGCGATGGCGTTGGTGAGGTCGAGGCGCGCAGGACCAAACCACAAGTGAAGCTTCGCATTGACGTCGGTACATTGCCGCATGGATCGGCGCGTTGTCCTGCGCATGCGAAAGTTTCGGACGTCAGGTTATGGAGGGCGTCGCGCATATCTAAGAGACGGCGCCCGTGTCGGTAGCACTCAATAGAACCACCGAAGTCTGAACACACAAAGTTCCAAACCGAATATGAAATTGGATAGATTGCGATCGATAAGATCCGCTCGTAGTTAATATCAGCTCAGGGGCCCCTACGAAACAGTTTGAGTCAAAACAGGCAGCGGGCGCGCGCACACCTACACGCAAGTATGTACCGCAAGCAAGCAAGCAACGCACACACGTGCATGCTAGCAATCATTACATCATGCATAGCTACTACATTGGAACAGAATCTGTGCCATTGACACAGGGGAAAGAAAAGAAGCTTTTAAGCCCCGATTCCTCAGTATACTACAAATACACACGCGCTGCCATACCTAAATCAACTCAAGAAAAATCAGAAAACCTGCACCGTTTCAACTACAGAGTCGAGAGATGTGCCCTGGTCTCCTGAATATCGTAGGTCCCACATACGATGATCATCACCACGCCGTTCATGAACTGCTCGAGCTCGCCGATGGGGAGCCTGCTGTAAACTCCTCCGTCGTGACCACCGTCGGCTCGTTCATCGACTGTATCACCTGAAACCTCGGCGTGGCTAGATCTCGTCGATACGTACACTGTGACTGAGTGTTCGCCGACCTCATCCGCTTGGGCTCCGGCACGTCTCGAGCTCTCAGCGTCATCTGCCGTAGCTCGTTCTTCACGTTATTCAGCTGCCGCTCCAACTTGTCGTTCGAACCGTTCAGCGCCGACAGCCTTTTATAGCACAATCCAAGCTCCTCATTAGCGTCCTTCAGTAGCTTCTCGGTCTTGGTCAACTTCTCTTCGTATACCGCCAAGCTCTTGCCGCGCTGCTCAAAATCCGTCATCAGCTTCTCCATGTCTGGCTGCATGTCGACTATCTGCTTGGCTCTCTCTTCGATCTTAGTCCGTTGCCATTCGTTCTTCTCTTTTAAGCGCGCGATCTCGTCGGCTTGCTCACTCATCTTTATCTTCATCTGCATATACTCGGCGTTGTCGTCTCCGCATGAGTCTGGCGTATCTTTCAAACAGCGTTTCATCTCTTCGTTAGTTGATCTCCAGAATCGCTCATTCGCCCGTTTGATGTAGCACGTCACACACAAACAACAACCGCAAACCAGCACCATCACAACCAGCAACATCGTGAGCACGGTCACGTAGATCCACTGCGTCTCGTTGATGTCCAGGCTTGGGCACGTCTCCTCTGCTTTAGTCGTCGTAGCCGCCGTGATCGCCACCAGCGCCGCGAGTCTCTGTGCTGTCCTGGTACCTGCCCTCGTCGCTTTGACCATCTCTCGCGCTGGCACTTCATCTGGTGTCTGGTCCACTGCATTCGCCTCGTCGAAGTCGGCCGCCGCGTCGTTCAGCTCCTGCTCGTTCTTGTTACGCTCTTGCTGGCTAACCTTCTTGCCTGCAGTGAACGTTGCGTCGTACTTCAGCGCGTGTGTCATTCTCCTCAGCTTCTCCACGAACTGCTGCCGCACCTGCAACTTAGTCAGCCCGTCCGCCATCTGCTGATGTGTGTTCGTCCATCTCCACACTCCGCCGAACTCCTTCATCTTCTCGTTCACTTGCATGATCTCGATGCCCGTCCTGCGCTCCGTCAGGCCACCGGCTGGCGCCTGAGAATTGGCTGCGTCGTAGAGCGCCTTGCAGTCTGTGATACACGGGCTTCGCCCTAGCACCTGCAACATGTCCGGTCCCGTCAGCTGCATGTTGGGGTAGAGCATCGTGGTCAGCATCGTCTTCGCGAACTCAAGAGCGTCCACCGCGTTGGCCGCCGCCTGAGCCTCCCCGGACAGAGAACTCCTGCAAATGCGAACCAACTTCTTGCTCGTCCAATCGATGATGACCAAAAACGTGGCCTGGCCGTCGTCGATCCTGTCGTCCTCGATCGCGAAGATCATATAGCCTCCTTGCGACTCGCCGTTAAGTCTTGTTGCCCATGAAGCGTCCCAATACACTCCAAGTCGTAGCTGCTCCCACTTGGACACGTAACGAATACGGATGCCCACGTCGCCACTCGCCTTCAGGAACCGCAATGACTTGTTGGCCTCCAGCAAACTTCCAACCGTAGCTTTGCTCACGTCACCTTGGGCAAAAGAAACTGTCGCCGCCGCCTGCACCATACACTGAGATGCCGGCCACTGCATAGCTCCATTAAGTCCTCGTAGCTGGCTTATCTCCTTCGGCGTGCACAAATCGTCCGGGTGCTGGCGGCGTACCTTCTCGATGCTAATCGGCTTCACCTTGTGGATGTACTGCTCGGCCTTGACCTCGATCTCGTTCCTTGACTGCGACTGCGTGGTCTCCATACCACAGAAAACAATACCGTTCTGAAACTCCCACTTGCCGAACTTAAAGCGCCTGCTGAGAGTCTGCACCCTGTCCAGGAACGTGCCCTCGTAGGCCTGCTTGTCGGTCAGGTCGGCCTCGCACTCCAAGTTCTCGCCGCCACCGATGAAGTCGTCCACGTGTAAACCCAAAATACCGTCCAGTACGTAGTTCTGTCCGTCGTCTGCGCTCCACACCAGAAAGGGGTCGTCGCCGTCGGCCGCGATGCGGTACGACAGAAAACAGCACCGATCCAACTGGTGTTGAAGAAATCCGATGTCGATCATGGCCTCCGTGATCGTCTGATTCCACTGCCTGGGAGCGCGAACATCCCCGAAAGCTGGCTTCAGCATCTGCAATATCTCGTCGTCCTTCAGGCCCATCATCTTCGCCAACCTCCTTCGGATGTCCTTCGTCGGTCTACTGAAAATGCGCACTCCCTGCTCACGAATGTCTTTTGCCTGGAGGAATGCGCTCTTCACGTCAGCTGCCACCATCTTCCACGACTGCTGGCACAGGATGAGCAGGATGAGGTACCTCGCGGGCCTCGTCAGAGTAGGGCTTGCCTTCTCCACGTTAGTGCTCGTCACCTCCTCCAAGTGAAATCCTTGAAGAATCACTCGCGCATTTGCCTCTCGAACTCCGTCCTTCATCTTTCACTTCAACAGAAACCTCATCGGACACACTTCGCCAGCTCCCGCCGTCGCCTCGTTCACCGCCTGCCACGCCTGGTTCTCGATCCAGGGTAGCAATGCCTTGGTCTTGGCCTCGTCGAACTGCACCTTCTCGTCCGGCGTGAGCCTGGCCTCCACCACAGCGTCGCGCTTCGCCGCGCTCGTGAGGTAGATCGTCTCCTCGTCCTCGTACAGCAGTAGCAGCTCGTCGTCGCCTGTGTCCGTCTTGATGGTCTCTGTCTCCATCGGTGTTATCCTTGGTCTCTTAGCCAACGGTTTGAGTCCGTCGAGCCGTCTTGCCGCATTAATGCTCTCCAGTAACTCGTCCCTGTCGTCCACCTTCCGCTTCTCCACTATGGCCTCAGGTTTAGCGTCCTCTTCTTTCTCTTGGCTTGGAGCCTCGAGATGAGGTTCTCGCCCGCCATCGGCTTCTGGTAGATCGGCTTCGGGTCGGGACTCGGCCGCCGCCGACTGCGGCTGCTCCTCCTTCACCTCGCGCTCGGCTGGCTCGGCTTCTTCGCTGCTCCTCGTCCTTTCGTCACGATGAACACGCTCCTCGACTGGCTCCTCCACCTTGCCATCAGTGTCCACGCCTGTGGCGTCCATGTCCATGTCCTCGGGCCGTCCATCGTCTACGTGGTCCTCTGGGCCCCCGAGTGCGTCGCCAACGCAATCCTTGTACTTGATGGAGCCGGTCGTGCTCTTCAGCTTCTTGAGCAATCTCTCCGCCGTCGACAAGGGTAGACCGAAATCATCATCTGCCTCCTCGCGTTGTCGCCGCTCCTCTGGTAGCTCTGGCCTCAGCAACTCGTGCGTTGTCCTGAGCAGCGTGTTGTTATGCACGCACCAGATGACTGACTGCCTCAGCTTGTCGGGATCGTCCGTGTACTCGACCTGCGTCACCATCGCCGGTCCCTTCCAATAACTCTTGATCAAGTCGCTCTCGCCCTTGTCGCGCCTCCAGAAGTAGACGTACTCGCCGATCTGGAACTCCTTCGCTAAGGGTCTGTTGCGAGCCGCTAAAGCCTCTCGCACTGCCCTCGACATATTCGCCGCGAAGTAGGCCTTAGCCGCGTCTCGCCTGCGACCCAGGTTCTGGTAGAATCCCTCGTCGTGCTCTCCAAGATCGCCCATCGTCGTCGGCTCGTCCGCCATGTTGCCCAGATCCCTGGGCTGTCGTCCTAGCGCACGCTGCGCTGGAGTAAACCCTCGAACGTTACGTAGCCGATTCCTCATGTCGCACGTCACTCGCACCGTAACCTTCAGGCTGTCGTCCAGTCGGTCCTCGTGATACTTGGCAATCTGCTCTCGTCGTACTTGGTGATTCCTTTCAAGGATCCCGAGTCGATGATGAGCGTCTCTCGGTATGAGCTGCAATTTTATCTGCCGCATGTCGCACCACTCCGAAAACTCCTCACTCACATGCGCACCACTTTGATCAGCCCGAATACGCACTGGCACACCAGCCCAATTGATCCAGTTTTTCTCGATCGCCTTTATCTCGGTCTTCGCTTTTTCGTCTGGCACCACCGTGTCGACCTCGTATCGCGAACTCTCGTCCATAATCGTAAAAATCAGCTTGTGCTTGTCGTTCCACTTCACGTGAAAAGTGTCTATGTCGATCGTGTCGTTGAAACCTCTATCTTTTGGAACCCTGGCGATCCGTACTGGTTTAGGCCTCTGCCGTTTCAAGCATATCTCACAAATATAAATCCGCGCGCAGCTCACCAAACGATCATCCGCGTTCATCTCCTTGAGTGCTGCCGCCAACGCTTCGCTCGATGGGTGACCCATCTGCACATGCACCTTCTCGACCCACTTGACCTCGTCGAGCGTGAACTTCTCAAGTAAATTCTTCCAAACTTCTTTGTGCTCGATCTTGTCAAACTCCTCTTGCGTCATCTCCTCTACGGCGTAGCTTGACTCGTTCTGCGGGTCGTCCACGATGCAGATTGCCGCCTGAAACGCCATACTTCTCGGGTAGTTCTCCACTCCGCGCATGTTGTGAGCTCCTTCCAGCATAACGTGTTTCTCCTTGCAGCTGCAACGCCTCCAGAGTCCCTCGTGCATCTTGTACTTGGTCGTCCGCACGTTCGTGGGCTTCTTGATCGGACCGATCCTGCGCCCGTCGGTCCAGCGCCTTCAGCCCGTACGCGCACTGGTCCACGAACGTGTCGTATCCTTCCATGTCCTGACAGACGTCCTCGCTCCACGACGTCGCGTATCTGGGATGCTCCAAATGCGCGTTCCTCTCGTTCTTCTGCTGCTCGTCGTAGATGTCCCGGCTGAACTTCAGAAACTCTTTCTTCTGCTTCTCTCGCTCTCGTCTGCGTTGCTGCCGATATCTGTTGTCCTTACTCGCGTCGTTAAGAGTGTTGATCGAAGACCACAACGTACATGGCGGTGAAATCCAAACTTCCTCTGGCCTTTCACGTCGTAATTTATCAAAGAACGCTTCGCGATGTGTCTTCCTCGTGAAATCCCAGCCAGTGTCCAACGTATACTTGTCCGTCTTGAAGTCGCCATGCTGCTCGACATACTGTGAAATACGTCCCTCATCGACAAAAATCTCCCAGAACTTGCGTTTAACTTTGGGTTTCTCGTCCAGCGTCCTGTTAACCTTCGTAAACCAGTCCTTCAGCTGCTCGGCGTCGAAGTTCGTCGTCTCCGCGTCCTCCTTCTCCTCGCCATGAGTGCTGGTCACGTAGAAATCTATCTCCTCTTCGCTCTTGACCTCGTGATCTCCGTCCGTGTCGGCGTCCGTCGAGCTAGACTCCTCTTTGATCTCCAGCGCGTCCTCTGGGAAACTCAAGAGGTCCAGGATCATGTGGCCTTTCTCGTTTGTCTCGATGTCGCTCCACGTCTGCGGTACTTCGTCCAGGTACATCGCCTTCTTGTTGCGGTAGTCCACCACGATGCCCCATTCTTCGAGACACGGCCGAGCCACCAAAAGAGAAACTTTGCCCGGCACCAGGTAAACCGTGATCTCGCGCCTCGTCTTGCGAACCCAGACTGGGAACGTAACCATCTGCTTTGCCGTCGCCGTAGCATCGTTGCCGAACCGGAATGTCTTCTGGCACCGCTCCGTCGTGATCTGGTCGGCCATACCCATGTCCGTCAGCTTCTTGCGCCACTTCGGCCACTCGTCGAGTCCCATGACTGGCTTCGTAGCTCCACTGTCGCCAACTCCTTTGCCCGTAGCCAAATTCACTTCTTCGAGTTGTAATCCGTGCGCCGTCTCCATACTGGGCGCAATCTCAGTCAACTTGTTGTCTGTGCCGATCTCGTACAGCATCTTCGCGTCCTCGTCGTGCTTGGCGGGTGCTCCATCTCGTCGCCGCTTGAACCTTGGTCCGTGTTGCTGCGTAGATCCAGTATGCGTCGTCTTCGGGCTGCCGTCGAAATGCTTGCCGCCCTTGCCGCCGCCGAAGGGTGCTCGTCCACCGTATCGTCCTTTCTGCTTACCCTTCTGCGCGCCTCTCGCTTTGCCGCTGCTGCTGCGTCCTCTTCCTTTTGGCGGCCTGGCATTTCCAACTCTTGGAGGGGGTAGTCCACGCTTCTCGTCGATCAGCGCCACCACGGGGTAGAATCCTCGGGATTTTGCCAACTCGTTCATCTTAGCTCGAGCCTCCGCATACGCTGCGTAAGCCTCCTCGGTAGCCTCGTAGGCGTTCTCGAGATCCTCCGGCACTTCCTCGTCATCCTCGTACCATTCGTCATCTTCCTGATACTCTTCATGCGGGTCGTACTCGTCCTCATAGTAAACATCATCATCTTCTTCATAGTAGTCTTCCATCCAGTAGCCTTCTTCTCGACTGCCTCGTCCGTGATAAGTACTTCTCACGCGATCGATGTCCTTCTTGTGCGCCACGCTGTCGCCTCCGAACATCGTCTTCAGGCTCTCCGTGACCACCTGCACCGTCAACCTGTTGTTGCACAGCGCCTTGAGGTTGGGTACTTGCCACTGGGGAATCGCCGCTCGCGTCATCATATGCCATCCTGCCAGTAGATCTGGCAGCTCAAGTCCCGCTTCGCGCAGCTTCGTCAGCTCCTTGCCATGCCTGAGCACGTACGCGTTGAGCGTCTCCTTCGGCTGCCGCGCGAACTCTCCGAAAAATCCGTCGCATCTTCCTGGCAACTCGACCTCCTGCGTGTACCTGTACAGCACGTCCAACTTCTCAAAAATCTCGTCGAATGCCTCTGCGGTGTCCATCCTCTCGAAACTTATCTCATCACAGGCGTCCCATGCGTCGCCCTGCAGGCTCTGCAGGAGCAAGTAGGCGCCCTCGCTCACCACTGGCGCGCCTCGGCGCGCGCACAACCTCTGGAACACCGTCGCTCTCCGTCGAAAGTTCCTGTACGTCGCGTGGCTGAGGTCCGTCGCATCCGGGCAGCACTTCGCCAAGCCCGCGTCCATCTGTGGTGGCCGTTCACCCTGTCGTCCTCGGCCACTTCCTCCTCCGAGGAGCTCGCTGTCGTCGTCTGGTATTTCCTGCTCCTCGGCTTGGCGACGTTCCTCCTGCTGGCCTCTTCCTCGTCCAGCGTCGCCACCGCCGCGCCCTTCACCTCGTCCGCGTCCCGGTCCTGGTTGACCGTTGGGCCGCATCTCTCGACTCTGCTGGGAAAATCAAGAGCGGACGTTATCGGTCGGGCCGTGGACCTGGAGCCGTAGCTCCGCTACCAATGTCGGTAGCACTCAATAGAACCACCGAAGTCTGAACACACAAAGTTCCAAACCGAATATGAAATTGGATAGATTGCGATCGATAAGATCCGCTCGTAGTTAATATCAGCTCAGGGGCCCCTACGAAACAGTTTGAGTCAAAACAGGCAGCGGGCGCGCGCACACCTACACGCAAGTATGTACCGCAAGCAAGCAAGCAACACACACACGTGCATGCTAGCAATCATTACATCATGCATAGCTACTACATTGGAGCAGAATCTGTGCCATTGACAGCCCGCATATGAACGAGCGGCGCATCGTCGCTATTGCCGTGTGGTCACCGCCGGAAGTTTGCATGCAAGCGCTCGTTCGTGGATTGGGCGGCATGGATCGGATGGGGGCGGTCAGACAGGCGCGGGGAGAGAGGGCCCCCCCGCGCCGCCACGGCGCGGCCCCGCGTCGAGTTCCGAGCCCGCTCAGGGTTCGCGCGGCGTCGGGGCCTCGTGCCCCGCGCCGCTCAGATGAAAGCGAGCGGATTTGCGCGGCGCCCCCCCACGTCGGATCTCATCCTGGATCCCCCACCCTCTCGGCGCGGATGTCTCGGAACCGACGGCGCGCCTCTCTTGGCGCGGGGGCCGTTTGGCCGAGCGCTTCGGGGGGCCCGCGATTCGCGCGGGCGGGTGCCGATCGCGTTGGAGCCCGCCACAATGGCCCGAGCGTTGTAAACATGCCTTGTCTTACTTGTATCATTGCCGTGCGTTACTAGTTCATAATCTCATGGATGAAGACAGTGGGGCGCTCGTGCTTACATCAGATACAGACGACGCCGATGTTCACGCGTTGAAGGTACTCCTGACGGACAGCAACCACTACCGTTTGCCCACTGACGATCCTGAAGGACAACTGTGTGAAGAAGCTTCGGTACCAACTCGAGCGGTGGAGACATTGCAGCGCGCTATCAAGAATATCAACGACCGCATCCTCAAGAAGGGCTATGGCTTTTCAGTTTCTTGTGCCCAGGAGGACCAGAGTTCAACTTCGCTGACGCTGGCCACCCAGGACCTGAAGTACGGCATGGGCCAGGAGCGCGACAACACCGAGGGGGATCACGCCACTTGCGGCGCACAAAGCGCGAGGCAGTCAACGGATTTTGCCGGCACCAATACAGGTCGCGGCATGAAGCAGCACTACGCTGAGGATTGTTTTCCCGAATATCTTAACAAAGAACGCAAAAAGTGGCTCGAGCAACGCCGGGGGAATTTTACACCCGGCCAGGTTTGGAAGTCGTCGCCCCGGACAATTTCGAGGCGTGGCTCAGGCAGCATCGAGATCGTCAAACGGTTTGGGCGTTTCAAGAGCAGCGGTCAGGATCAGGGCGATTGCCGTCGATGGCTTCGCGCTCAGGACTAACGGTGCTATTTCCAGTTGGCTACAGGTACAGCTGGGGCACGATTAACAGCATGCATCGCAACTACATCAGCAAGGTACAGACGATCTCCAAGCCGATCGGGAAGCCATCCTCTCCTGAGTGCAGGCTTTGGACAGCTATGTGCAACGTGCGACGGGCAGGAGCTGCAGCAGCTGAACGACAGGACGAGGTTCCAATGCTCAAGTGGCTATTCAACGACAACGTGACTCAAGATGGAGATGGTCATGGCTACATCAACGAGAATGGCTTTCGCTCACAGATATGGGTTCAATCACCGTTGAAGCAGAACGGCAACATTGCGAACAACAAGACCAGGCGGGCAGACGGATGCGCACATGGCTATGTCAACGCTGACAACCAACCTTTGGAAAAGCCATATCGCTTCGACACCAACATCCATATGAACATGACCTCGATGCGCCGCCCGGGGCGTGGAACTCAACGACACGCAGTGATTGAGAGGTCAGTGCCAGGACAAGGAATCAAGAGAACGGCCTACACCACGATATACACGATGCAGATGTGCAAGAGTTTGGTCTCGGACACCACGGCATGTGCGAGGGTATGTACTTGCGCACTGTGACTTTACAGCTCCAGCTCTTGGTGCCGAAGGCTCGGCGGCAAATGCTATTTTTACAGTCACGCACGGTTTACTGGAACCAGGTCAATGGCGTGGACTTCGCGCAGGACCCAGACTGGCACTACCCTCAGGCACTGCAGGCCAGCTCTGGCCTCGTTCGGGGCTGGCGTTGAGGCGTGGTCTCGGCGTGCATGGTGGAGTTATCGATTCGGATTATCGTGGACAATTTATTGTTATTCTTGAGAAGCGAGGCGACAGTCGTTTCACGTGCCAGTGTGGAGATCGGAGTGCACAATTTATGGCCACGCCAACTTCGAGGGCTCAGAAACATTTCGCAAAAGGAGATGGGCAGCAATGAGACACCTCGCGGTGATCAAGGCTTTGGTTTGGTAGCACGGGAGATCGCGCGACACACTGGCATGATGCCTCTGACATCGGCGCTTATTTACTTGACTCACGCAGGCCGTCGGCCATTTGTGGGAATATGGAGACGGCGACGCTCCCTGGCGCGGAGGTTGCTCATGTGCCAGACTCACGCAGGCAGGCGGCACTTCGCGGGGAGATGGACATGGCAGCCACGCCAGGAGGGCAAGTTTCGGATAATATACGATCATGTCCGACATGCAATCACGGAGGAGATCGAGGGCATAGCAGAGTTCCAGGATAATGCAAACTGGCCCCATCGGCATCGAAGGCACCACTAACGATGCCAAGGGCAACGCCAGCTTCCAAAGCTAAAGCAAAACCTGCAGCAGCGTGGGCGAAAGCAGCTCCAGCAGCACCTCCACAAGTTCTTCCGGGACTTCAAAAACAGCCTCAACAATTTACGCCGCCGAACCCAGCGCCCGATCCGCAACACTTTTAGAACATTTGGTCGATAATATGTTACTACCACCGTCGTATTCGCAGTCAACAGCGCCAGAGGGGTTAGAGAGGCAAGCAACGACGCGACAAGTTCAACCACTGCAGCGACCAGCCAACGACATCGTAAATCTGAGGAAGTCTCACGAGAGAGCCCAGCGTGTTAAGGTGGATGACTTCGCACTCAACATTCGCGAGCAGCTCGAGAACTTGGATCAGATTCGGCTGGCGAGGCTTCTGGCAGACATTGCAGGGCAACGCACAGGCGCACTCACGGAACCTTCTACGATACAGGAGCTCAGCCCCGGCAGCGACCCCGACGGGACATTATTAATGCTCATGGAGATCCTCAGGCCCGCGGATGGACGCGGTTTCTTTGCACATCGCATGCGGGCCCAACAGCTTGGAGACATCGGCTACGACATCAGTCGGCAACAGCCCTTTCCGCATTACGTTTGCCGGCACGGACTTGGACAAGTGGAAAAGGTCACCTCTGGAACGCCTGGACGAGTTTACACAGGCCTGGCAGCATCATCCGATTCGGCATCACAAGTGGCTTATTGTTGCTAAAGGGCATTCGGCACGAGCGAAGATCGAGGAATGTACAGAGATACGCATGCTTCTCAGGCTCAAGTTTATCACGGTGCCACTGGTCTTCGACTTCAACAAGTTGAGGCAGCAAACAAGGAGGCGGCCTCGGACGCAGAACGCAATCAAGTACTCATGGGTCTACACGAACGACTATGGCATGATCAGCTACTTGAGATGGAGAAATACCCGAGACGATTTGGAGTTCCCGACAAGCGCATGGAGATTGCAGGGCAAGTTTTTGTAGGATGCGAGGAGTGCAGCTATTGGAAACCCATCGCGACAAGACCGAAATATCGAGCAGAACGTACCGGCTGGTTTGGAGTTGTGCGACTTGTTTTTAATGTTCGGCAAAACCTTCATCATCATGGTGGATGAAGCTATCCGGCGCAAGATATCCGAAGCCCTTCTGAAGAAGGGTGCCCACCATATTACACAGGCAATGTTGGTTGCTTTGTTTCGGCATTTTGGACCACCCATTTGCATCAAGTTCGACCAGGAAGGAGGCATTGGATCGAACGACTTCGCGGTGGTATGTGATCGTTGTAGCATTCACCGAAAGTTTGCAGGATCGGACGACCCTGGCAAGCACGCCACCACAGGATTGGCAGAACGACACATTGGGTTGATCAAGGCTTCGCCCCTCAAGGTCAAGGCACAAGTGGCGAAGCAAGGACTTAAAGTTGAGAGCGAGGATATAGTTCTCGAGTGCGCCATGCGTCAGAATTTCTTGTCTGAGTATGGAGGTTACACACCCAGCTTAGTGTTTGCAAGGTTACATTCCCAGAGGACTGTTTGATCACAGCTCGGACTCTACGTTGGTTATTGATGGAGCTTGAGAATCTACCCAGGACAGCTTCGAGACGCACCTGGGGCTGCGCATGATGGCGAAGGGTGCAGTGCAGAAGGCAGTCATCGAGCAGCGAATCGCGGATGCCAACAAGATCAAGGAGCAGGTCCTCTCGGATGCGGTAGAGCTTCGACCTCTTCACGACTTTGTTGACCTTAATCGATTACCAGATCACAAGGATCAATCAGAATGGCGAAGACCATGCGATTCGCTGGACAGCAATATGAAGGAAGACGTGGCCACCGCTAAACACCAGTCCGTGCCATGCATCGTACCTCTACGACACCTACGACAACATCGGGCACGCTCATATCATGTGACATTGTCCTGTCCACCCACACACTTGCTGACTGAAGGAGAAGGCAAATTGCAAGACCACCTGCATGATGACCTCTACTCTTCCTTGCATCACATGTTGGACATTATGGATGGACAGCAGCCCGGTTCAGTTGTTACTACTGGGATGGTTCACGACACGAATGGAATGCAGGTGGCGATGCCCAGCGACTTAGAAGTGAACGCGCCAGAGAGATGTCAGTTGCCATCGAGAACATGTGAATCGCTCCTGCAGATCGCGGCTTCCAGAGCCATCAGATACGGCACGCAGCTGCGTAATATCAGCACATAGCATGGCATCGGCAAGGGTATCATTCTGCTGTGGCTACGTCGAAACAGGCTGAGCTACATTGTGCGGCAGGTGGACCTGGCTCAGACGCTACGTTTGGTTACGATTGTTCCAGATACTCCAGACTTGCATTCGTTCGTTATCTTTGGGATCAGTATGAGGAGACCGCGGTCCAGGACTTGGTGCCAGATGTGTCAGACGTTTCGGCAATTGATGAGATCGGTGATGTTCCCTGGGCACCACCTACACAGCTGTTCCACCGACGCCTCCGACAGAGTGGTGGAAACCACCCAGATGAAGATATATCGATGCAACAAAGAAATGATCAACAGCCTCCAGCGCCCCCTCAGCAATCAGCAGTTCTGCAGATACCAAGACAAGCACACATACCTGCATCGGCGCTACCAGGGGAAAGACCTTAGGAGTTCTTGGACAGCACGCTGGAGGCAAGATCGAGGCCTGGATCGTCCATCTTGGCACCGGCTGCAGACGGAACTCCACCTAGACCTCCAGGTGATCAGCCAGAACAAGCAGCACGGCAACAAGGGCAAAAGAGAACGGCATCCATGGGATAACACCATCTACCACCAGGACGCGATGATGATCGCTCGCGCTCGGTGCACTTACCTGGTCGGAAGCAGGAGTCATCACCATATGCGACTATCCAGTATCTTGAGCATGAGAAGGGCGATGACGCGACAATCGACTATCAACCTCAGCGTGACGATGACCGGTCCAGATCGGAACGGGGAGATGACGATCGCGGAGACAAGACCTGGATATTCCTTCTACTGAACTACAAGGACATAGCGAGGAGTTTCACAAGTCACTGGGATTTCAACGCGAATTGGTTGCATTACGCTTTCTCAATAAGACGGAGCAGTTCAACATCATCGACGACGGTGACCTTACGGCAGAGTGGACCAGAGAACAAGCCTACATGGGATTCCCCGGACCTTCCGAGCGATAACAATGTTTCTACATTGACGTTGCCACTGACGAATGCTTTGCCGCAGCTTCCGACGCGCTGATGCTCGGCCCAAGAGATATGTCATAACATCTCGACTCGGTCGATGAAGCAGACAGGAAGGATATCCAGCAGTTCGGTGAAGCTCATGTCTAGAAACCTCCATCCATCGGCCGATGCCCCCGACATCCAGTTGATTGCGCGCGGGTTCTCAAGTGGAACCAGATAAAGGTTGGCATCGAGCTCGGGTGGATCGTCAAGAGCAGGCTCTGTGCACGAGGAATTCCTTGACAGTCAATGTGCATCATTGACAAAGAGAGCTATCGCAGCAGCGAAATTGTCCCAGCGCTACTCGGTTCTCTGGCGGCAATCTGCGACTTCACGATTGAGAGCTGGGACGTTACTGGAGCATTCCTAAAGGATCTACCCCTCAAGCAGATGCGCGACCTATTTAGAAAGCGCGGCATCAAGAAACCAGAACGGCCGGTATTCATTGCACCACCAGCCAATGCATGGAGACACCTTCGTGACATTGATGGAGCTTCTGGTGTAGCGCAGTCACTCTGCACACACTTGTGGGCGCTCGAGTGTTTGAGTGCAATGTATGGATGGTGGCCATGCAGATGTTCATGGCTGAGGCACTCGGCGGCAGACCTTCGGCGTTTGGTGATTGATTCTATGTCTGGGTGGCATGGCCAGGGGAACTCAAAGCTATTGCAACCTCTTATGTGGACGACAGCAGTAATGCGAGTATTACCCCATGGTTGAATGAATCTGGGAAGTTCTCGACGCGCTTTGGAGGACCTACGCGACGGCAGCCGCGCATGATGCATGTTGGGGTTGAGCGCGAGAAGACGGACTTCAGTATGAAGATGTCATAGGGTGAGTTTCGTCAGAAGCTGCAGCCAGCTCCACTCGACAAAGCGCGAGCTCAGCAAGGCGACTCACCACTCACAAGGCAGGCGCTGGCAGCAGTCAGAGGGCTCATTGGTGGATTGCCATCTTTATGTCAGACGAGATTGGACGCTATTGCAGACGCAGTGCTTATCCAGCAGAATACGCAGCCGGCAACCATTAAGCACATCAAGATGGCAAACGCGCTGCTGGCTCGAGTGAAGAAGTCTGCAGATGGAGTTGGTATGTACTTTCCAAGGCTGACGCCTCCGTTCGCGACACTGTGGCAGATTCCAGCGGAGCTACCCCAGGCAGTTCGCATGCTCAAGAAGCACTATTGATTCCGCTCGGCTCGGACAAAAAGATCTCAGTTGTGCCCGCAACATATAGTCCTTATCAACATGTCCAATACTCAAAAGACCGTCTCAGTAAATTCGCTCATATCATCGCTTCGTTACCATGCAAGGCCAAACGAGTTTCGGGAAGCACGTCGCAAGCTGAAGCGTTGGCAGAAGGTGTTCGCAAGGAGTTGGCTCAGATGAAAGCAACGTGGCTGGCAGAAGCACCCGGCATTCAACTTCCATGGGCTACGCCGAGGTCCATGAAGGACCTGATCAATATCCGGGACACTGCCGAATTCATGATTCCCATGCACCACTGGACAGAATGTAGGGATTTCTTTGCATCCAGCGTTGGTTTGAAAAGGTGTACCTCAGGATCGACGCCAACGGCCATCTGCACGGTCAGTTCGTGAAGACAGGCTTCGAGGAGATGTTCGACGGGTGTTCTGGTGCCCTACTACGGCTATGATGGCAGATGGACTCACCAAGAGTATGTTATTTGAAGGATTGTACGATCTGATTACTTATGGTTACTGGCGTGTGGAGACAAAGGGGATCGAATGCTTTGTTGCGACCATCGACGCTCCAGCCATCACAGTGACCGAGAACGACCTCATACAGATGAGGCCTTCGTTGGCAGAAGTGTCATCAGTATGCGCAGTGGTTACTATGATGGATTGATTCACTTGGCAAAGCCAACGATATACGGTAATATGACGATTAATCGACACCTGGTAAAGGTAACGATATCCGATAACATGATGGTCCAAATCCTAGTAAAGTTTATGATATCCGATGGTGAGTCTCGTGGATGATTATCCGACGCACAATGATGACGAGGTCCTCGAGCACCTCACGCTTTGCAGTCTCTACGAAAAGCTCTACGTGACCGACTACAGGTACCTTTAGGTCAGCGAAGTCTGGCCCCACTTTGGGTCCGTGGTCGGTCGCTCCGCACTGTTGTGTGTATATATTAAGCGCTCGGTTCTTATAAGCCAGGAGGGCCAGAGTCAGAAGCTAGGTATGTGTAGAGAGTTAAGTGTAATCATAATGCAGAGCATGTAGCAGGCGGTTGCTGTACGAAGACGTCTTGGGTCAGGCGTGCCAGAAATCAAATTTTCCCGGGCCCGAATGGCGCCAGCCCCCCCCCCCCTCCCTCCCGGGCCCGAATGGCGTCAGCCCCTTCCCCCCCTCCTCCCTTCGACAGAGCCCCCCTCTCCTCCCTCCCGGGCCTGAATGGCGTCAGCCCCACCCCCCCTCCTCCTTCCCGGGCCTGAATGGCGTCAGCCCCCTCCCCCCGTCGTCCCTCCCGGGCCTGAATGGCGTCAGCCCCTCTTCCTCCTCCTCTCTTCGACAGAGCCCCCCTCTCCTCTCCCCGGCCCTGAATGGCGTCAGCGCCCCCCCCCCCCCCCCGACAGAGCGAAGCCCCCTTCCCCTCCTCCCCCGCGACCCCCCGGCCTGAATGGCGTCAGCCCCCCCCCTCCTCCCTCCCGGGCCTGAATGGCGCCAGCCCCCCCCCCCGACACAGTGCGACCCCCCCCCCCCTTCCTCCCAGGCCTGAGTGGCGTCAGCGCCCTCCCCCCCCCCCCTTCATCCCGAGCCTGAATGGCGTCAGTCCCCCCTCCCCCTCCTCCCTCCCGGGCCTGAATGGCGTCAGCCCCCTCCCCTTCTCCTCCCTCCTAGGCATGAATGGCGGAATGGCGCCAGCCCCCCCCCTCCCGACAGAGCGAATCTGGAGCGAGCTCAAGCCCACGCTCTCAGAAACTCACACGCCCGACCGGCGGATGAGACAATTTAACTTTCGATCATATGCACAATTATATTGATTTCCCGCGACAAGGGGGGGAGGAGAACGAAGAAGCGGATGAGTGGGAGGAGGAGGAGGAGGAGGAAAAGGAGGAGGAGAAGGTGGAAAAGGACCAGTGCAAACCCAAGAGCCATCAACGATGTTGGAATATACTCTCCCTCCAAGCTCCGCTGAAGGAACTGCCTCGTTGGAAGACAACCGTTTGAAGACCCTGAAGCATGCCAACAAACATAGGTATCGGGATCCCAACGCCACGGATCAAGTTTGAGTGTTGCGTCTTGACGATCCTGAATCGTAGCAGAAAGCCATTCCTAGGACTTCAAAACCGCAAATCAATGTAACTGGTGCACCCCCATAATCCTGAACCCTTCCAAAACACAGTTTCTGGTGCGCTAACCATGGGAATCCATGAAACTTTTGCAAAGTTTACAACTATGAATGTACGCGGCGCCAACGCGAGAGCCACATTTTGAAAAGGACCCCCCACAATCCGTGAAACTCCTGCAAATGCTTAAAACGAATGCGCGCGGCGCTAAGGCGACAGCGATAGCTTGAAAACCAGCTGCAATTGTTCAACGAATGTGCGCGGCGCTCAGGCGAGAGCCACATTTTGAAAACGACCCGCCATGCATGTGTGAAACTGTTATCAGGTTTAAAGTTTCAGGGTCATAAAAGGTCAGGAAGTCTCAGGCGAAACGCCCAGCCCGCCCGAAAAGCTGGCCTCGAGGTGCGACAGGGAGAAACGATTGAGAAGAAAAAAGAGTGGCGGAGGAGGGAGGAGGAAGAGGAGGAGGAGGAAGCGAAGCAGGCTCCTGAGCGGCACGGATTGTCCTAAGTGCGGGCGGAGCCTTGTTGAGGGTGATTATCCTTCTCCTTCTGTCAATCTCCTCTCTTCATCTCGTCGTCGATGTTGTTGTCGTCGTTGTCCTTCGCCTCCGCCACCCACAGTCCCTCGACACGAGAGTTGCCTCTGCGGTGAAGACGGTCTTATCGGAAGGGGGTCCGTCAGACCACCACTCGGCCAGACAATGCATGGATTGATTCTGTGTTATTGTGCATCTGCCTGGTGCATGGACGACCCTCGTCACCCCAAGTGCAGCCAGGCCCAGAGCAGGAACCCTCTTACCCCCCTCGCAGACAATCGCGATGATCGTTCTTCGCGCTCTTGCTTTCTGATTCGTTATCCGTGCTCTATCCATTCTCGTCCCCTGAAGCCAAGCCGCTTTTCACTTTGGCCTTTCTGCATCGCTCGTGCAAGTGTTGCTCCTTTCGTATCCGAACTCTGGTGGATGCAGATCGTGCGCACGGAGCTGCCCGAACACATCGCTTTCGACATGTCGAGGCGCCCCTCTTGCACTCAGGAGGAGGTGCAGGCATAAGGACAGCGGACACCCAGGAAGAGGGGGTGGGCAATGCCGCAGGGGAGCCGCGAGCGGAGCAGGAGCTGCCCCGCTGCTCCTTGAACAGCCCGTGGGATGTTGAGCCCAGACGGAGATTGGGATGGCACCTCCAAGCGGTTTGTTCGAGGAAGCGAATCTCTTCTCCTGCATTTGGGGTGGTTGGACGCTTGCGCCGCCCCAGATGCCGCTGAAGAGGAGGAGGAGGAGGAGGAGGAGGAGGAGTGCCCACACGCCGAACATCGCTGTCCTAAACTCCTCGCATGGTGAGATGCCGTTTGGGCAAGCCGTGGGGTGACGGACATGGTTCCACGCTCTCCCCTACCTCGCTGCTTCTGATTCAATGTCGCGCTCTCTCCCTCTCTCTCTATTCCCACTGCTCCCTCTTCTCCCACGTTCTCCCGCCTGTCCCTCTGCTCTCTCCTCCCCCCGCTCCCCTGATCTGGCCCCCCCCTGCCCTCACCGACTCCCCCCTGCCCCCTGCCCCGCCGTTGCTCCCTGCCCCCTGCCTCCTCCGCCTCCTCCAGCCCGCCGTTGCCTGGTTCCCCCCCCCTCTGCCCCCCACCCATGAGCCTGCCGGTGCGAGAGGAGGAGGAGGAGGAGGAGAAGGAGGTGGAGGATGAGAGAGCAGGAGGAGGAGGAGGAGGAGGAGGAGGAGGAGCAGGAGGAGGAGGAGGAGGAGGAGGAGGAGGAGGAGGAGAAGGGAGAGGAGGAGAGGTCCCTCCTGTCGGATCGACCCTTGCGGCTGGCGCGCTCCTTCCCATCCAACAGGGGCGGCTCCGAGCTCCGACCCGCTCCGACCCGAATTTCGGTGCGCCCCTGCCGATTCCGGTCCCGGTCCGATCCTTCTGTCCGTTTCTCTTTTTTGGTGGTCCCCAAACGTTCGGGGGCGGAAAAGAGGGGGGTGATGACTAGGGGGGGGTGGATATCATGGCGGGGGTCATGATATTTCCCCAGATTTCACGGCGCCTCTTCTTAGTTCAATACGGTCCCGGCCCCCCCACTGGGCCGCGCACATGCCGCCGGTCATGATTTGCACCCCCCCCTCTTGGACACCCCCCTCTTGGCCGCTCCCGAAACGTGGTGGTGAGAACACCCGGTGGTGAGTTCTGGGCGATTTGGGTAATGGTCTTCGAGCGCTGGCCGGCCCAGGAAGCGCAAAGCCTCGTGGCGACCGCGCGTCCCCAGACCCGGCGGTGACCCAGAATTTTTTTGGGGGGAAGCGGGGTCACCACCAGGTGTCTCACCACCTGGTTTGGAGACCACCAATTTTTCGATTCCGATCCGGCGCGCGGATGCCGATCCAGGTTTCGATCCAGCGCTCCCGACCTTCGTCGATCCTGGTTTCGATTCCGCAGGGGTTGGGAGGAGGAGGAGGAGGAGGAGGAGGAGGAGGAGGAGGAGGAGAAAGAGGAAGAGGAGGAGGAGGAGGAGGGAGGAGGAGGAGTAGAGGAGGAGGAGGAGGAGGAGGAGGAGGAGGAGAAAGAGGAGGAAGAGGAGAGGAGGAGGAGGAGGGAGAAAGAGGAGGAGGAGGAGGATGAAGGAGGAGGAGGGGGAGGAGAGGATGATGGAGGGATCCGAGAGGCCCTCCTCTCTCCCTGCCCCCCGCCCCCTCCCTCCCTTCGCGCCCCCCCCCTCCCTCCCTTCGCGCTCCCCCTTCCTTCGCGCCCCCCCTCCCTTGTCCCCCCAATCCATGATTGGTTTCCCTCGTGTCTCTCGGGTCGGTTCCCTCCCCTCCCCTTCGTGCTTTAGCTGGCTCAAGCCTTTAGGCTCAGTGCCCGAGATGGATCTCTCTTCGCGCTGATATGATAACCTTCCCTCCTCACTCCTAGTCCCACCGCTCCCCATGTCCACCCACGGAGATGACAATGGTAAGCGGAGCGTGGCTTCGGGGCCGGGCGGCGAAGGGGACACGTACTCAGTGAACGGAGGAGAGGACGAGGAGGGCACGCGTGCCACCGGCACGCAGACGGACGGAGATCGAGACACAGATCAGCGTTCAAGAGATCGCTGGACGACATGGGATTGGTCTACTCAGTGGTGGGACCATGGAGATGACAAGTGGCGCGACAGGAGCTCGTGGTATGCGTGGGAAGACGACTGGAGGACTCCCTCTCAGTCGTGGGGATCGCAGTCACGAGACTACGGAGCGCCACCAGCATGGTTGGGATTCGAGAATTTGAGGTTGTACGAGATGAATCTCCAATCATGGGCAGCTCGTACGGGATACCCAGAGCAGCAGAGAGCAGGGAAAGTACTAGAGAATTTGCCTATAGATGTGCAGCAGCGTTTCGTGAGCATCAGGCCCACCCTTGACCACGAGAAAGGACTGGACACCCTGATCGAGCATCTCTCAGTCCTGAACGGTGAAAGGCCAGGAGACAAGGAGAGAGAGGCTCACTGCGCGGCACTTTTCCATTATAGTATTCGGCGAGGAGAAACATTGACGGACTTCGTGCTTCGCAGAGATCTGGAGACGGCAGAAGCTGAACGATTCGGACTGATACTCCCCGACCAGGTGAAGGCGCGCTTCTTGGAGGAGGGCGCGCAGCTCACACCCCAGAACCGCATCAATCTGAAGACCCTGGCCGACGGCAAGAGCGACCCGACCTCGATCAGGCAGGCACTGTTGCTCCTCGACGTCAGAGACAAGTCGATGCTGCCGACCTCGGCGAGCCAGAACGTGACTAAGACGTACCAGGCCGAGATTCAGCAGGACATGGAACCTCCGCCACCTCCTCATCCGACGTATGTCGACATCGACACGTACTTTGAAGGACCTGATGATTCGTTCGAGTTACCAGAGGTGGAAGCTGAGACGTTCCTCGCAGCCCTCGAGAGCCAGGACCTCGACGAGTCCGAGCTGATGACGGTGCTGGCAGCCGTCATCGAGGACAAGCTTGGCAAGGATCGGAAGCGCACCTGGCAGGAGGCACGCCGTATGAAGGCCAACAAGAAGATCGACCGGGACTTCTTTGACAGACGCAGGGCGAACAGGCCGGGATACAAGCGCATCACGGGCTCGGACTTGAGAAAGAGATCGAGGTGTGCCAATTGCGGGGAGAAAGGTCACTGGGCCGAGACGTGTAAGAAGCCACACCGCACCAAGGAACAGAGGCTCGCTGAAGAGAAACGGTTGAAGGATTCAGGCGGAACTAAGACATCGTTCTACTTCGAGAATGGCACGGACGAGGGGTACGTGAATTACTTGAGCTTCGAGGGCGAAGGGGCACAGACCGTGACATGGTCTGTGGAGGACTGGACAGGGCTGATCGAGACCATCAAGAGCGCCCAGGCCCTCCCAACTCTCAAGAACATGCTCGACAGCGCCTTGGTTGACACAGCGGCTGGACAGGCCCTCGTCGGACAGGAAGATCTACGCATCATGGGGCACTCGTTTGCCGAGAAGGGGTTCAATGTCCACGTGGTTTTTGGCGAGGTCCCCGGCATGACAGCATCCGGGATCGGGGGGCAGGCGAAGCCAGTCGGCAGAGCATGGGTGCCGGTCTCGTTGGCCGGCTGCGGATTCGTCGAGTTCCTCGTCATAGCGAACAGGTGCCCGCCTCTGCTCCCAGCGCGTCTGCTGGAGGCAATTGGAGGAGTCGTGGACATGCGCCTCAACGTGATGATGGTGAACACGCCCGAGGGTCAGGTCTCGAGGCCCCTGTATCGGCATCCCTCGGGCCACAGGTCGGTCAGCCTGATCTGGTGCGAGCCCGACGAGTTCTTCGTGGAACCGAACGTCTTGGCGCGGCTGCCCGCGGAGTGCAGGAACTTCCGCATCCAGGACCGCACGGGGTCGGGCAGTGAGGAGTCGCGGGTAGTTCGCGACAATTTGGGCCTTAAAGGGCCGGAGTGCTGTATGTCTTACCTCTCCTCCTCGGGTCCCGGGGGCCCGACGTTGGAGTCTCAAGGGACTTCCGAGAATAGGTTGGGAGGTGACAGCGGGTCGAAACTCCCCGGGTCCGTAGCTCCCCCGGCTCAAGATCCTCCCGACACCCTCTTCCGAGACCCTGAAGTGAGTTTTCAGCATGGCGGTGAGGCCGAGGAAGACAGTGCAGAAGTCTCGATCCCAGTCAGCGAGTCCGGCACGACGGTCATCGAGTCTCCCGACGCTCCACGAGGCCACTCCCATGGTCACCGAGGACAGCTGGGAGAGGCTCTCGGACGTGGCGCTGAACGAGGTGCTGGACGCCGAGGCTCTCACGGAGCTGGAAATCCAGCAGCTGAACGAGGGCCAGTTCAAGTTCGATCCGGCATCGGCTCGCTGGAGGTCAATGGGGCTCAAGCTTCTCGGTTGCGTGCGGACGTGCGAGGACATGCGCCTCCTGGGCGGGATGATCCCACACCTGCTCCAGGGAGCGGGCCCGGAGCCGATCGACCAGGCCACCTGTCCGCGCCCTCCCTGGGCTCAGTGGTCCAGCGGCAACCAGTCGAGCTGGTGCACGTTCTGCCGGCGCTGCGGTCTGCGTCTCTGTCTACGTTCCAAGACGGACGAAGAGAAGGCCATGGCCCAGGTGAAGAAGCAGGTGAAGGCCAAAGCCAAGGAGATGCGCGCCCAGAGCAAGGCAGTGACGGCGGCGATGATGGCCCAGTACGAGCGGGACTTGATGGAGTCGGCTGGCGCGGACAGCGACCCGTGGACTCCAACGCCTCCACCAAAGCCTCCGCCACAGAAGACGCCCAAGGCAAGGAGTGCAGCGACGGAGAACCTCGACGAGGTCCCGGGCAATCTCTACGTTCCCACGGAAGTGGGATACATCCCCTACAAGGAGCCGCCTCCAGACGCCCCGGTCAGCAAGAAGTACGCGCAGCAGGTGAAGGGGGCGGATGTCCGCCCAATGACGCAGAGCGAGATGATGCGCGCGCTGTCCGACATGAAGGTGTGCCTGGAGACGCAGCAGCGGTCCAACGAGCTGACCTGGCAGGGCGTGAGCAACCTGAT